TTAATAATTGTTATTTTAAAAATATTTAAAAACTAAATGGAATATCTAAAATAATATGAAGTGAATATATATATATATATATATATATATATATATATATATATATATATATATATATATATATATATATATATATATATATATATATATATATATATATATATATATATATATATATATATATATATATATATATATATATATATATATATATATATATATATATATATATATATATATATATATATATATATATATATATATATATATATATATATATATTCACTTCATATTATTTTAGATATTCCATTTAGTTTTTAAATATTTTTAAAATAACAATTATTAAGTAAAAATGTTTTAATTAAAAAAAAGCTTTTTATTTTCTAAAGAAATACTTTTTGGTTACTTTATTTAGGTGTTTTCAATTTTTTGGTCTCCCTCAATTTTAAAACCCATCATTTTGTTCTCTCCATTTTAATTTCCTTGAGATTTTTTTCGTCCCTTTCCAGTTTTGTAGACGTGACAGTAATGACTAGGATACAAAACTTATTTTTAATGACATGATAATGATGACTATGATAATTTATTATTTAATATTTCTTACAAAATAAATTAATAAATAATAAGTTTAAGGGTTAAATATGTTAGTCGTCCATGTAAATAACCTATAGTTCGATTTTAGTCCTTATAAATAATTTTATCGAATAATGGTCCTTTTAAAGTTTTCCATCCACAATTTTGGTCCATGTTGTCTACTTTGTCTAATGAAAGCCGACGTGGAATATCACGTCACTTAAGGTCAACATCATACTTCACGTCAAAAATACGCGTTAGATTGCGAGGGTTACAAACCTCCACAAATTCCTTCGAATATGGTGAATTGTTGTTCATGTTCTTGCAAAATCTTCTCAATTGATCTCAATCATTAACGTTAATAGATATGAAATTAAATTAGCATATTGATTGCTAGGAAGTACAATTTCTTGTTCATGTACTTGTTGTAAGAATAAAGCCAAAAGATATTGCCACAATTTTCATGAATGAGATAATGTCACAGTTTTCCTCCATGGTTAGGTTTATATTACCTCATACCAGCTTATATTGTATGTTTGTACCAACCATTTTTGAAAACCTAGTATCTTCCTTCTCCTCGATTTCCTTCAAACCCCATTTGCAAAATAACAACTTTTCAGACACCAAACAATAGCTTGCCAGCCTGTGTTCCAAAGGGCGCATAAAAGAAACCTTCGAGAGCTTCGTATATGAGTTATAGTTAGAAACTCCTTTGTTCTCAACTCTTCTTCAATCATGTATTTCCACAAACTATTTATTTTTAGGAAAACAATTTCATTCATTGATATTCACTTTGGGGTGTTCCTCAGACAAGTTTATTAACAATCATATTCTCAAACTCTACTTAAAATTTAGGGAACTTCATGCTACTGTTAAAATGTTTCATAGAATGTCGAGACGGAATATTATGTCATGTAACATCATGATCAAGGCTTATCTTGAAATGGGCAACCATGAGAATGCTCAGAAGTTGTTTGATGAAATGCCTAGAGCAAATACATCAACAAGAAAATGTACTTCTTAGTATCAATATGGTAATTTCATTTCATTTATATTAACATTAAATATTGAGATTAATTGAGAAGATTTTGCAAGCACATGAACAACATTTCACCATATTCGAAGGAATTTAGGGAGGGTTGTAACCCTCTAAAATCTAACGCATTTTTGGATGTGAAGTATGATGCTGACCTTAAGTGACGTGACGTGTCACGTGGTATGCCACACAACTTCTGTTAGATGAAGTAGACGACAAAGACCAAAATTGTAGACGAAAAACTTTAAAAAGACCATTATTCGAAGGGATTTTCTATAGGGACTAATATTAAAATATGGGTTATTTATATGGACAAAAATATATTTAACCCTAATTTTATTAAATCTTCTAAAAATAAATTAATTAAAATTTTGAAAATAGATTTCTGGGCCCAAAGCCCATTTTGTTACAACATTAGCCCAATACCCAATATTACAATTGTCTATGAATAAATGAGCTATATAAACACTAATAATATTCGTTAAAAATTTGATGTGAAACATGAATAATAAACATATCTAACAAAACTAAAGAAAAATCAATGTACAATACAATCTTCTAAAGTCTCACACTTCTCCTTGTCCAAGCATTGAAGTACACGCTCCAAGTTATCCCTAACCTAAGCATCACCAGTATTCCTCATTGCATTAATATATGCATTTGGGTTTCATAAATGTACATTTACTTCAGCTAGAGTTTTCTTTAGCGAACCCTCATTAAAATGTGATCGAGCCCATGTCAAGCAATGATCAATGTTGTGTGGAAATGAGTGCACAATACACATCAACTATTGTATCTCAGATGGATCTCTTGATGAGCCATTGTTTTCTATTAGATGAGGAATAACCATTTTAGTATTGCATTTAGCACCAAATGTTCAAGATTCAAGTTGTGGTTTATAGAAATACAAGAATATCTGATCTACATATAGTCTTGCATTCACATTATCTATTTCATTAACCACATCACTCAAGTTTTCCCATAAGGTATCGTAAAGCACATCGCAATGCACCAGATCCAACAACAAACACTTGAGCATCTTCAAATTTCTTGTGTAACTATTGCTCAAAAACTGAAATTTGTGCATCATATTAACTATTTATTTGTTTTAAATCATTAGGATGCAATTGTTTTCTAGAAAGTGATTCCACCGAGTTGAAGTAGAAAAAAATGCGAAGGTCATAAGAGAATATAAAGTTAAAACAACCATAAAATACAACTACAATAAGAAGAAATATATGGAGAAAAAAAGTTAAAACATGATATTTTTCAAGAGGTTTAGTATTTTAAAAGCTATCCAAAAACATACAAATCCCACTATATATAAGAACTATTTTGAAAACTTATAACATTGCCTCAAGGTATGGATAACATTTGTATAAGTTATTGAACACACAAATGGAAGAATGTGCAATACTATAATACTTGGGAGAATTGCAAATATTATAAAAGTGGTCCAAAATCTAAATAATTGAGTGATTTTCTTAATGGTTTGAAGTTCAAAACCCTTGATTGTTTGATCTGCGTGACAATACCGCCTTTTTAATCGACACCATAGTTTGTTGTGTCTTCTTCAAGAATGAATGAATACGCTCTAGCATTTTTAATCTTTCTCGACTTTCTGTTATTCAACCCTTTCATATCATAAACCTCCGAAAAAACAATAAGGTCTCTATCCTGAAACTGTTTGTTAGTTTTGTTTATTGTCGAAGTCCCACGTCAAATTTTTTTAAAAATGCTATTAATGTTTATATAGTTCAGCTATTCATAACTAATTGTAATATTGTATAATAAGCTGATATTGCAACAAAGGATTAAGATTCTCTAACTTTTGGAAGGAAAAGTTAGAAGAATAAAATAAAGGATATAATAGTATTTATTTTGGAAGAAATTGTTTTACCAAACCTAAAACTTTGTTAGTTTTGTTTATTATCGAAGTCCCACGTTAAATTTTAAAAAATATACTATTAATGTTTATATAGTTCAGCTATTCATAATTAATTGTAATACTGTATTATAAGTTATTGCAACGAAAGAATCAAGATTCTCTAACTTTTAGAAGAAAAAGTTAGAAGGGTGAAATAAAAAATATAATAGTGTTTATTTTGGAGGAAATTTTTTTGCCAAGTCTAAAAATTTATTTTTGAAATTTGAATTAGTTAATTTTCAAAAAAAATTAATTAAAATTATTAATTATTAATTAATTATTTAAAATATATTAAATAAGAAATTAATCTAATTAGTATTAATATATTATTAAAAATAATTTGTATATCATAATCATCACTATTATTTCAGAAGGACTAAGAAAAATACCATAAATAGTGAATTAAAGGTTAAAAAGTTTAAATTTTAAAATAGGAGTATAAAAAAATGAAAAGCACATTGCATAGAAAAATAAAAAATGTATTTAAACTTTTATATAAATTGCAAGTGTTGAACAAAGTGGACCTCCAACTTCACTAACGGCCACAAAAGAACAACAAAAAAACTGTGCCTTAGACTTCAAAGGTCAAAACCACAGAAGCGGAATGTAAAGCGAGAGTGACTCCCACGCCCTTATAACGCGCGTATGACAGCGCCCCCATCCTGGTGTGTAATCAAATTTACCTCTCTTTCCGCGAAGCAGCACGTGTCGACGCGTCTTCCTTAGCTGGTTCCACGCGCCACGTGTCACTTTTCAAATGGTCGAATCAATAGATATCATCCCAGCCGTCAAAAGCATCACCAAACAGCGCATACTTACAAACATAGATAGACTAACCATCTCTCTTCTCTCAGTCCTCTCTGACTCGCGGAACTGTAAATCAATGGATTTCTAGAGAGAGAAACTAGAGAGAGAAAGTGGTTGGTTAGAGGTAATCAATCTCTTATTGAATTTCAGTGACTTCGTAACATTGTTCAGCAAAATTACAGTTCTTTTATTTTCTGTGCAATTCGTTTTTGGTTCTTTGATCTTTGAACTGTTTGTTATAATTGTTAGTTTCTTTATTCTGCTTTGTAACTGCAAATTAAACTTGCTAGATTATTCAGTAGTTTCTGCTTCGGTTTGTTACGATAGTTTCTTAGGTTCACTCCAGATTTGGTGTGTGAATTGGTCAATTTTTATGGTGTTTTTGAAGTGTTTTTGTAGATGGATTATTTGAACAGAGAATTATAAGTTCTTTAAATGCCCTAGTCGAGTTAAATGAGTATATGCGGCTTGTACCGTTGATATATATAAATAAATAAATTTAAAAAAAAATTATTTAGTCCTACTGATTATATAATTCATAATTTGGTATTTTTGTGCAACAGACTCTGCTGCTTGCTTTGACTGTCAAGAGGGACATTGGTTCCCCACAAATGTGCCGAAAGCAAGATTGTTGTACCGATTATAAGCACAAATCAAATGCCATCCTTAAAAATGAAGAGCAAAGTAAGTATGAGCTGTTTGGCAGAGAGAAATGATCTTCAAATCTGTCCAAAATCGAAAGTAATTTCCAAAAACTCATGTTCTAAAATCGTGATTTCTGCTCAAGAGGTAGAGGTCGACACAACTATTCAAAATTGTATTAATGGTAAGAAGCTAATATCGTGTTTTTGCTTCATTTGTTCTTTTTTGGTTTCTTTTTTCAGCTTTTCAGCATATATATCATGTAACATGCTGCTGATTCGAAGCTTTCATTACTGGTTTTAAGCTAGCCATAGAACCTTTATTTGTGTTTTGCCAGGTTGATATTTTGTCTTTAATTACTGATTTTAAGCTAGCCGTAGAGCTAGCCATACAGAAAGCACGTTATAATAGAAAGAAAATAAAATCCTCGCTTAGACAAATTGGTTTATCAGTCTATGACTTGGTCAGGTGAGTTGAGGCTTTGGAGCCAATTAGAAGAGCTGACAGTAATGTGAGATGTAATTATGAATTTATCAACGAGTTGAATTTTCAAATTTGGTATCTGCCCTGAACTTTAAGGTAGCTCTGAGTCTGCAGCCTTAAGGTTTCTATAGGGTCAAAATTCTGTTCTGTCACAATTAAAAAAACAAGAGCCGATTTAGCTGCTCGGTATCAGAATATCCAGACCAGGTTTCCAAAATATGATTGAAATGCATTTGTTAAGACAAAATTGTTTTTATGATCTTCCTATCATAAAAAACACTAATGCTTAATTTTTTAATTGAGTAGAGTGACCGGGTATGATACAAAGTGGCAAGTTTCCATAATTTTATTAATTTTTTTGCCAGTTAATTTTCTTTCTTGATATAATTAATGTCAATCTATAGATAGTATCACTTTCTGTCCCTTACAATCTTCCTTGATTTACGGGTGTGTTTAAATTGGCATTATTTTGATTCTACGCGCTTGATAATTCTTGCTATTTTTCTATAGTTTCTTCAAGGATGCTGCCCAAAGACATTGCAACTGATCAATCTAATGATCGCAAAGAAGCTCTGGATTATGAAAACTCTGACTCCCAACACCAATTTTCTGTATGTTCCTCTATCCTGGGAAGAATGATGAAGTTTTGTTATATTTGATTAGATATTTATTTATTGGAAGTTTACTTTTTCATTTGTCCTACTAATACCTTGGTATTAGTTACTGCAATGATCAAGATAACTAACTTTAGTCATAAATAGGAGTCTTGTTTAATATGACCTTCTATAAATGTTATCTTCGAGCTAATGCATTCACAAATTGCTAAGCATGCCTTTCTTAAATGGCCCATAACTTATCCTTATTGAAGTACTCTCTTTGGACTTAAAGCAAAAATTACTAATTGCCCACAAATTAAGAATATTAGTTAATGTCAGAATTAATTAAAAATTACAAATGTTACTTGATGTTAGAATTAAGTAAATCTGTAGATCTTCATTAACATTATATGTATTTATTGTAACACTATTATAAATACAAATAGTGTGATTTGAGTAAAGAGACACATAGTTAAAATTGGGTACGATGGAAAGATTGACCGCCTAAAAGCTTTTCTTGTAGCGAAAGGATACACATTACACACAGATCTTTGGCCTTGACAATGGAGATACCTTCTATCCAGTCGCCAAAATTGCATCTGTCCACCTTTTTCTTGGCTTAGCTGCTATTCATCAATGACCGCTCCATCAACTAGATAATGGAGATACCTTCTATCCAGTCGCCAAAATTGCACCTGTCCACCTTTTTCTTGCCTTAGCTGCTATTCATCAATGACCGCTCCATCAACTAGATAGATGCTTGTAAATGCTTCAAGTTTTAGTTTAGTTTTCTGTTGAAACATTATTATATACTATATACTTGTTTCCATGACATTTAAACTCTTTTGTAATGCATGATTGCCATAACCATAACTTTTTTCTTTTCTTTTCTAGGAACTAACCAATCCCTGTACAGAGAACTTAGAAACAATTTTTTCTCCTGCTTTTGAGCCCATCGAAGTCCATTCACAACATTATACTGAAAAAGGTACAGGTATGAAAACTGTTATTTGTGTGTTCTTTGCTTGATTGTAATGTATCCATGACACTCTGAAAGAGCATGATTGTATTATTTTCTTATTTGATTTTTAATTTGTAAACAAGATTTGTCATGCAACTCTATTGTTTCTTACTAACTTCTGTGAGTTGATCTGCATATAACCTAAACTTGGACTGTATGAATTTCTTTCCTAAGTTTGATGAATCTTAGATAAATAAAAAGCAGGACTTATTACTGCATTTGGATTTGATGGGCTAAATTTGATGCTTCTTGCCAGAGAAATCAGATGGGCCCACTTGATAAATTTTAGAAAAACAAAGAAATAGGATTTGTGGGGGAAGAAATCAATTTAAAATCATACCAAAGTTAAATTTTACTAGGAGTGGGGGTATTGAGCAGTTTGTAGGAGATTGTTGGTTTAAATCTCAATATCATGATTGTAGCCTAAGACGAGAGGCATGGAAGTCACTGACGTAGTGGTTGTGGATCTATGAGCTGATTGTCATCTTTTAAAATATGACTAGTCAAAGCGTAGGGACGAATTAAAGAAAGCTTGCAAAGCTCTGTACTTGACTGAAATTTGACTTTAAGAGCCTAATAGATAAATAGTAAAATACCACTAAGATTAAACATATGATTTATTTTTATCAAAATATCTAAATTTTGAAGTGATGGGATTTACAATCCAGCCTAATTTCCATAGTAGGCAAATTAATGTTGATTTTTGAACTTATGGCTGCTAGATATAAAACCATTCATATGCTTTCACCTAATAGCTTAGACTTTTAAGTTAGTTGGTTGGGTTCATACGATATCAAGTCTATAATCTAGTAGAAGTTAAATTTAAGCACAAGTTTGAATGGTCATGTGCATTGTCCACAATTTAAGCCCAAAGGGATCATGCGTTAGGGGTTGTGCTAGATATAAAACCACTCACGTGTTTCACATAAAAGTTTTTACAATAGGGGGTTCATTCCAGGTTCACTGCATCACAATAATGTACAGTTACTTTGTAGCCATGTTATTGTTATTATTTATATTCTGACAACTTCGACTGTCTTATAGGGAGCTTTGGTGATACTAACATGGAAGGAGTTGGAGCTGATGAGGGAAGAAACATATGTGGTTTTGAAACGTGTGATGTATCCGACTTCTACATTTCTGACATGATCATTACAAACTTACCCTTTTGTGGAAATTCATTGGATGATGATGTCAGTGAAACCAACTACCTATCGGATTTTGGATCCACCGAGCCATCCGTGGTTTGTGCTTCTGAACAGTACACGACCCTGCCTGCTTGTGAAGATGATGCTAAAATTCGCTGTACTCCAGATAGCATGTCATGTGGAGAAGGTATTGTGGTTCGTGAAAGTGCTAGCTTGTATTCTGCTATAGCTCAGATAAGATCCTGCAACCAGGAGTCCGATGTCAAAGATGACTTGGATAAGGAAGAGTGCTTTGATCCACAGTCATTTATCAAGAGTTTACCAGAACTATCAGAAGTAGAATTAAATGACCAGCCCACACTATTTCCAAAGCAATCTCCAAGAAGAAAATCAGTAACCCTTGTGCTTGATTTAGACGGTAAGAAATTATGATACTTGTTTACCACTGATTACTAATTATCTATATATAATTACATAATGTAATATTGGCATAAATTTTAGATGATTTATCTTCCAGTTTTTTGGAGTTTAATCTAAAATAAAGATGTATATATTTTTCAATCCATAGCTTGGTTTTGCTAAAACTATTGCTGTTTCAGTTATTTCAACAATGTTCATAATGATGGTAACAAGTAAAAGTTTCATAAGAATCTGATGCTTTAGCTATTCATGGATATTTATTCTGCACTCATATTTGTAAGAAAGAAATTGAGAAAAGTCCATACAAATTGCCGATATTAATTGCTTTGAAGCAGTAGTTATAGTCAATTTTGAATCTGCATTACATTTGAATTTATTACCATATATTGAAATATTTCACAATATCTTGATCTTATAGTGTACTTAGATTTTCCCATAGGATTGGATTTCATATTTCCTCATATATCACGACTTTCTTCATTATTTAATAATATGAGTGGTAATATTAGCAAGGCAAACACACACCCAAGAGAGGAGGGGGGAGGGGGTATCACTCTAATACTGTGTTGAAATTGTTGGGTCTAGGTAAGAATGAAGAAATTTGAATAAAGACTTGGAAGTTGGAATAACATGATATCAAATCAGCTAGCTCGATTAACTTGTGTTGAATATTAAAGTGTGTCTGATACAATATTGTCTGTCCTTGTAGATGGGAAAAAAATTACTAAAGTTGATACAACAAAATTTAATTGAATTCTTTGGGTTAATTTAAAACTCACTTGGTTCAACTAACAACTTTGAACATCTCTGCAGGATGATAATACATTGTTTCATTGATGTTTGATTACAAGATTTGACACTTTTCTAGATGTTTTATTTCTGAAGTATTTACAGTTGAAAATCATATTCACCATAGCCGTCTGCCGTGCTTTCTTATGTGCAGAGACCCTTGTTCATTCTACGCTGGAACATTGTGATAATGCAGATTTCACTTTTAACATTTTCTTCAATATGAAAGATTACACAGTATACGTAAAACAAAGGCCTTTCCTCCACACATTCTTAGAGAGAGTATCAGAGATGTTTGAAGTAGTTATTTTTACGGCCAGCCAAAGCATATATGCAAAGCAACTACTTGATGTATTGGACCCAGATGAAAAATTTATTTCTCGCCGTGTGTATCGAGAATCATGCCTGTTCTCAGATGGAAATTACACAAAAGATCTTACCATATTGGGTGTTGATCTTTCAAAAGTTGTCATAATTGATAATTCACCTCAGGTATACAATCTGTCACTATCTTTTGTTGGTTCAATCTCAATCTTTCTTTTATTCCTTAATTTCACCTCAGGTATATAATCCTCTATGCTCACTTCAACATTCAAACAAAAGGAAATGACTACCTTTGATTCCCTTGCCCCTTTCCCTCAAAGTCATCCATAGGCTACTCTGTCTAGCCTTGATAGGGAAGGGGAAGAAATATGTTATTTGCATTTGATGTTTAATCCTTTCACTCTCAACACATTTCAGGTTTTCCGGTTGCAAGTGAATAATGGAATTCCCATAAAGAGTTGGTTTGATGATCCATTAGATTGTGCGCTAATGTCATTACTTCCCTTTCTAGAGACATTGGCTGAAGCTGATGATGTGCGTCCTATTATTGCAAAGAGATACGGTAACAAAGAATAAGGTTTTTCCTCAGAACAAATTTAGCATCTTTTCTACTTTCTCTAGGTTTAGGAAATTTAGCCTCTAAATAGTTGCTAAATGCTCCTTTGCATTTGAGTTGAGATGCATTAACCTATACAATAAACTATTGGTTATGTTATTGTTGAGTCCACAGTTGCTTCTCTTTTCTTCTCTCAGTTGACAGATCTGGAGTTCTCTGTTTCTCTTGAAAGGTAGTTTTAGCAACCATCTCCTTTTCTTTTTTTTCCCTCTAGTCATTGTACAGTTGAAGTTTGAATATTATGTGCTGGTGTACTTGAAACTTATCATATTATGGAATATAGTTCAGAAAGTTACATATTTCATTTTCTATCTTGCATATTTCACTTTCTTGATCGTTGTTACTGACATTTTTCTCATACAATCATATAGAATTTTGATTCAAGTATTATTATGTGTATCATTAATGCATACATGGTTAAGGAGGCAAAAATTAGCTAACCACCCAAAAAAGTTTTAAACACTTTCAAAAATTGTAAAAGTACTAGGAAAAAGTACAACAAATTGAAGGGGCAGCCTAAAAGATAATGGAAATTACAAATTGCATGCATAAGATTGAATAGTCTTGAAAATAGTAATTGTCATCCATAGTAGCAAATTTGAAATGCTAAGCACTGCAATGAAATATATGATCATAGTCATAGGTGTGAAACATCAACATGTTTATGAAAATAACCAAATGAGGTAGTAATGAGGATTTTCTTAATGACAATCTTATTTCATTTTAGGTTTCAGCCTTACTGATGCATGTAAAAGAGATTTCAGAAGAATTTGAAATTGGTTACATTCAGAATCTAATTTTAAACCAGCTATGCCAAAAGTTTGAGTTGTTGAGTTGTTAAGTGAAGACAACCAAATAGGTTTTGAACTATATACATACTCCCCTCTTAGAATTTGTGGGTGGTCTTAAATCAATCTTACAAAACCGACTTGTGAGGTGAGGGATGCCCAAACTTTATAAACACTACATAGGCCATATCTGTAAGCAATGAGGTACTAAATTAATCCCTTTACACCTAACACGACGAAGGTGTTAGAGGGTGCAGTGAAGGCAACCCGAATGCTGCAATTTAGGCGGCTTGGGCAGACCGTAATGAAGGTGGAATCTGCACGGGCCCACTTACCTTGGTACTGAATTTAATCTACTTTTATTATTAGAATGTGAGCGATAAGGATCAAGCTCTAAACGATTTGGTCATAGAGGTCTAGTATCACGTTTCAAAATTTAGGTTAGGCCTAACTCAACTCAACTCTAAAAGCTAGCTCAAGGGGTGAGGATTATGTAAAGCCTTATAAAAACTACTTTGCCCTAACTCAATACACTTCATACCCAACACCATTAAAGGGTTGGAGGCTTTAATTAAGCAAAGACTAGGTAGTTGGAATGAAGCAAGCTAGAGATTGTGCTTTTGCAATCTGATAATCTTCTTAATACACTCTCAATGAGCAGTACTGACCAATGGATAAATTTCATTTATTTGGCTCTTGAAAAGGGATAAGCAACACTCAAGAATGGATTTATTTATCTTTTAGAACAAGAGATGGTCATAGTAACTGTCATTTTCTGAATATAGGATCTAGTATTCATTTGATTGAGTTAAAGTATAAAATGGCATCCCTACTTAAAATGTTATGGTTTCTTTTAATGTGAATGTCAGTTTTTTATTAAGGTTTATAATAGTTTCCTCTTAGGTGGTTTCTATATGTGTTGATAAACCTGGAGAAGCACCATTAAGGAGGGTTGATCAGACGAGTAGTCCAATAGTAGTTTTTTAGAAAGAGGACAGCCAAGGAAAACTATAAGTCAAACCATTATGAGAGATTTATAGACAAATGGCATATCTCTTGACTCAATACATGGCATGGCGCTGGTTGTCTGTTTATCCTATTCCATCTAGTGAAAAAAAGAACTTTGTCATTATAAGGATAAACAATGTTCGGAAAACACTCTTTGTGATTGGTCCATTTGTGATCAGTAGTAGGCAGCTTATTTGACTTCTTTAAAATGATCCAATAACAAATGATGTTTTTAATACTATCCAGAAAAGTGTGTTGTTAGCATTCTTATAATGATATCCCTATTCCCTAGGCACCAGAATATACTCATCATTGTTGGGTCTGGGAAGAACTGAAGCCTGATTAAGATCTGGTTGATTAATTTCGCTATATTGATAAAGAAATTTGAATAAATTCTTTATGCTTTCGAGGCTTCTCATCATGTCCTAATATAAATCTGTCACATAACTTAAATAATAGCTGTCTCCTAATATCTCTAGATACCCGAAAAACCTAGATTAACATTCATGACTTGTGCTTTGGAATACTTTTATTTGGTACATGTTTTCAATAAAAGGGCTATGTGTTTGACATGAAAACCATGCTGCAATGAGAAACATGAATGTTTGAGCCTCTGTAAATGATATATATTTACATTAGTAATGTTTAAGCATATTTTCGTTTGATTCGGAATAAATCCACAAACTGGTCTTCATTATCTTTTGTATTCATAAAGTAGATTGGCCATCTATCATGTCTGAGTTGGAAGTCTTCCTCAATAATTTCTATTGAGATATCAATTTCTGAGAGGTAATAAACTAGCCTCTTTTGCTCTAACTTCTTTCTTAAACTTTGAACAAACTAACTAGTTATTAAATCTCCATGTTGTTAATCTCGGGTAGCTTTGTGTTAGCACTGACCCCCCAAAATGCTGAAGCGAGATAACCGCTATTGCAAAGACTAAAATCCAATAAACAAAGTAAATAAAAATATTCAAAAATAGACTAATACACAAACTTAAAGAGATGATTATACTTAATAGTTAAGAAACCTTAAGTATAGAGTAATAAAACTTAAGCAGAGAAGAGGAATAGTACATAATTGAACTAAAAGTAGGAAGAATAACAGAACGATTATTTGTGAGCAAGAACATAACATTACTCTTCAAATGGTTCAGACTGAAGTTTATACCCTTAAAATACGACAATAGTTTAAAAAAATGAATTAGGGGAATTTATCTCCAAAATTTTAATAGCAAATGTAATAGCGGCTGCGATAGCAGTTTGGGGTTGCAATTAGCGGTTGCTATAACCGCTATTGTTGACAGAGGCTCGTGGACCTATAGCGTTGCGCCGAGCCCTACAACCACTAAGCTATTCCGCTATAGCATGCTATTGACAACATAATAAATTCTCTATTCAAGATTATCCTTTTCGAGGTCTTGTTTAGGAATAAATTCATGTGTTAATTTAGCAGTCTTAGCTTCCGAGTGTCTTTTGCAGTGTTTTACCTTTTGTAGTTATAAACCTTGGGCTATGTTTGGATATCATAAAATAAACAGAGTGGAATGGAATTGAGCAGATTGGAATGAAGCGGAATGGAGTAGAGTGGAATGAAGACTCACTCCATCGTTTGCATATTTTAGGATGGAACAAGGTAAGTTTTTCATTCCCCAAATTGGAGGGCAAGAAATATGGCGGAAGTGATGGAAAGGAATGAAATCTATACCACCCCATTCCGCTCCGCTCCATCCGATTTTAACTTTTTCAAACAATGGAATGACACTTATTCCATCTCATACCACTCCATTCCATCCTATTCCATCAATCCAAACATACCTTGGAGATTTTTATAATTTGACAGATATCTTTCAATTTTTTCTTTTAATATTTATACCTGTGCCAGAGGTTTGTTTGTATAAAGATTTTACATTCAGGGTACTTGTTGGCACAGGGGGAAAGAGATATTATAATTCCATAAACACTCTAGATTGTTATACTGGCTATATTGCTATATTCTTTACTACTACCAATAAACTTACTTTTATCTTTGCTGATCCTGTGTCTCTGGTGACATAGTTAGTATTGTTGATTAATTTGATTAGACCTGCACATTAATATGAAACTTAGAATTGTGACTGTATGAGCAAATTGAAGGATACAAAGGTATGTTGTTGTGCTACAAGGAACATGCGATGACGACGACGCTGTTCCTTCTAGAATGGAAGAGCTGTCAGTACCTATAGTTTTATGAGCGTTCCTTCTAGAATGGAAGAGCTGTCAGTACCTATAGTTTTATGAAAATTATTTGGATTTAACCTGTATAAATAGCTGGCTCTCACTGCTTTCATTATTGTCTACCAGTTCTTGCTATCATATACTTTCATGATTTTGCATCCATTGTCTGCAGGTGTGTGAAGAATTTTTTTAAAATTAGATTATCCCTCTATTGGCTGTCCTATAGGTATGTAAATTTTGATAACTTAGTCTAGGAGTTTCGCAGGTACTTTGTTTACTGTCCTGCCATAATATTCTTTACACATGTTCCATCTTCAAAAGCATAAGCAAGTTGGTACAAAAGTTGTAAATACCTAGCTGAAGTGTTCAATCATTGTTATTTCTTTTTCCTACTTGTTTTCAATTTTTGGCCACTTTCTATTGTCATTTACAATTTGTCATGATTGTAAAATCCAACGTATGGCCACTAACCCTGCCATGTGAGATTGCCTAACTTGACTTGTTTGGTGATTTTTCTACCAAATTGCAACATTCTATTTTACGTGTTTTGGTTTCTCTTAAAATTTATAATTCCTTTATCGTTTTCTATTTAGTAAAATCTTAATG